CTATCTTCTACTGCTTCTGCTTTTTTTCATTTTTGTTGTCTTGTCTCCTTGTATATCTGAGGTTCCTTTCTGTGTGGGTATTAAGTATTTCATTAGCAAAATTACTTGAAGAAATAATTTAAGACCCAGAATGGTGTTTTTTCCTTTGGAGAAAATTTGTTTGCTTTTTCAGGTTCCTGGAAGTCCTAGCACTTTGGAGATACCTGGGGACAGCAGCACTCTAGGATCATCTTAAACTGATTTCAGAGATTTAAATGTCTGCAGCTAAGTGGCAATTTCAAGAGGGCCTGTTCTTCATCTGGCCCATCCTTACTCCTAGGGTGCTGCCTTCCAAGGTCCCAACCCAAAGTGAGGAGGTGTTCACAGCCACCTTGGACACCAAATCCTTTAGATTCTTAGCCCCTGAAGTTATCAAAAACCCCGTTCAGCCTCTCCTCCTCTCAGCTGCCTTCTCTAGTTTCAGCTAATAACTGTCCCTAAACTCTGGGCTCACCTCCCTGGACCTCTAGCCTAGCCCAGACCCTGGCCAGGTAATTCATCACTGTCTTGTTAGCACTCTACTTCCAGCAGATTTTTTTAAATCTAACTTACCTAGTTGTTCTCAGTGGGTGGACTGGCCCAAATTACCTAGTCTGCCATTACCAAATGTTAAAGTCTGAAAAAGTCACATTTCAGTAAAAACACCCTGAGTAAAATTTACTTCTCAAGCAGAATTCTACAGCCAATCAGAAGTGAAAAGAGAATAAAAATTTTTTCAGATGTCTAAGATCTCAAAAGTATGTTCTACCAAAACGAAGAAATAAACTTATAAAGAATATGACAGAGAATTACAAAGGAGCAAAAAGAAGAAAAGTATAGAAACCTCCAGAATAATGGTGATGACAGCTCTATAGCTAGCCTACAGAGTAACTTATCCATATTTGGGAACAGTGAGCTCCAGGAAAGATGTCTTCACCGCGAAACAAAGGAAATGGACAGACTACCCGATACGTCTGAACACAGAGGGAAGATTGACACTTGTGTCAGAGTTAGGGAAGAATTAACGTTAGGTACATTTTTAAAAAGCAAATGAAAATGAGACAATTATTAATTCCCAGGAAAATAAAAAATTGTTCAAGAAATAAGTCTGATTATCATTATACTATCTGACTCAGCTGTGAATAATACTTATTATCTTAATGACATAAATACTGAATACTAATCTAACCAAAAGTTAAGGTAAACAATCCAGCAGGATGACGGGATAGAAACTGTACATAAGAGAGAAAAACCCTTATCTTTTAGGAGCAAGTTGTTAAATAAATAGCTAAAACTGAAAATTAAGAGATATCAGTATAAAATGTTACTTAGAACACCAGGAGCATACCAAAAGAAAGAGTTAAAGGCATTGAAATGACTGCTTCAGAGAAGCAGGAATCCTAGGTGCAGAGGGGTGGGGCAGATGATTCCTATTTTTCCTTACGAGCATTGTAGAACCATTTTTCTTTTTATTTACTATACATGGCAAGCATAAATATTAAATGCGAAGAAAAGACTGCTTAATCTAATTTATGTACCAGAGTATGGTTCATAATGGGCACTCAACAATACTTAAATTTCTTAAAGAAAAAGAGGAGAAAAACAGAGGTTAAATGTTCAGAGGGAGGGAGTGGCATTAGGTAGAGAAATGGGAGCCAAAGTTTGAAACTGTCAGTATCGATGACAGAAAAAAGAGCTGAAATAACTGATCATTTTCAATACAATTTAGAGTTTTCAAAGAGGTTTCTTAAACAGTAACTCAATCTTCACAACTACACTGGGACATAGGAATTATATCCTAATTTTACACATGATGAAACAGGCTCAGAGCTGAGATTATTTGTTCAAGGCCATTTAGCTGAAAAGCGGCAGAGCCAGGACTCCAAATTCCTTACTCCTTTCTTTAGGCCTACCTACTCTGTAGGGCATGAGAAGGTAAGAGCAGCAGAAATGTCCATTAAAACAATGCATTCCCAGGCCAGCCCCGGGGCCTAGTGGTTAAATTCAGCGTGCTCAGCTTCAGTGGCCTGGGTTTGGTTCCCGGGCGCTGACCTACACTGCTCTGTTAGCAGCCATGCTGTGCTGTAGCCCACATACTAAAAAACAGAGGGAGACTGGCATGGATGTTAGCTCAGGGCGTATCTTCCTCAGCCAAAAAAAAAAAAAAAAGAAAAAAACCAACGCATTCCCAACAGTGTAATCAGCAAATACCTAAAGCATTCATTTACAAAATGAGTTGTTTATACCAGTACTCCTCCAACTATGATCTGCAGCCGGGCTGGAACTGGTCACAACAGCAATCCAGGAGGAGACAAGGAGCTTGAGGCAGAATGTAAATCAACTGTGTCACGAAACACACTGTTTAGTGCAAACTGACATTTTTATACAGCAAAACTTCCTCTGAAGTGAAGGACGCAATGTACTGATTTACATTCTGATGCAAGCTTTTTATCTCACCAAGGACCTGTCATCTCAGTAGCAGTGGTTTGTACCATAGGCCTAGCTGCTTCTAGGCCTGCTGTAACTTTCAAACAAATAAGAAGGACAAAAACTTAAAGCCCTCTTTTCTAGTTCTTATATCACATACTGTTCAAAGTAGATTATGAACACATTATTAGCAACACAATTTCACAGACAAACTCCATGGAATAAATTCCCATTACTAGTGTTTGGTAAAAGCACTTTACTTCTAGAAACTTAATCAACTTTCAGCAGCCCAATCAATGAAGCAGCAAATTGACCAGACAGCTACAATTCTGAATTTCCTTTATGTCCCCAGGCCAAACTTGTAATCTTCAAATTCTTACCACAGAACCTATCCATTCAATCCTTTTAATTTCTCTTTAAAGTATTAAGCAATGGCAGTAATGCCCTTGACATCAAAACTATGCTACAGGAATAAGTTCAAACAGCCTTGGAGTGATTAAATATTCTCATAGTCACACACACGAATTTTTTTTAATGGGTTTGTAACAAATAAACAACTTAGATATCTATATGTATGGTGTTTTTCTTAACTAGGAAACCACTATCACTTTAACTTACCAAACAGAACTACTTTTGTTCCACCCTAGGAGAAATAAAGAAACGGTAGCTAAAGTAGCTTAGCAAACAAGGAGCACTGACCCTACCTAAATTACAATTTTTAAAAAAATCAAATATGATTATCATTCCATGTGCTTTTTCACCACCTCCAAATCTTTGCATGAAGTGTAATTTTAAAATATAGGGCCGGCTCTGTGGCTTGGCGGTTAAGTGCGCGCGCTCTGATGCTGGCGGCCCGGGTTCGGATCCCGGGCGCGCCCCAAGGCACCACTTCTCCGTCCAGCGCGGGGCGGAGTCCCACGTACAGCAACTAGAAGGATGTGAACCTATGACATACAACTATCTGCTGGGGCTTTGGGGGGAAAAAAATGAATAAATAAAATCTTTAAAATATATTCTCAAAAGTCTACCCAAATTTTAAAATAAATTCCAGTTTAGCAAATGACCTTCACAGAAAACTGAATTTGACACAGCCAATATTACCACGCACTGCTCTGACCCAAAGTACAAATGGCCGACCATTGAAAGTCTGTCTTGAGGGCCGACCCCGTGGCTTAGCGGTTAAGTGTGCGCGCTCCACTGCTGGTGGCCCGGGTTCGGATCCCGGGCGTACACCAATGCACCGCTTCTCAGGCCATGCTGAGGCTGCGTCCCACATACAGCAACTAGAAGGATGCGCAGCTATGACATACAACTGTCTACTGGGGCTCTGGGGGGGAAAAATAAATAAATAAAAATCTTAAAAAAAGAGAGAGAAAGACTGTCTTGAGAAGCACAAAAATACTTTTATCAAGCCTAACTCTTTTCTTGTTACATGAAACATTTCTAAAATACCAAGAGAGGACCTCTTGATAAGGACATCAGCAGAATCATAGTATCAGTGTGCACCACTCAGGGACGTGAACCTGAGCACACTGAGTAGCAGCACTAAGGAGTGGTGATCCTCCCAGCAGGAAAGCCCATCAGCGTGGAGCTTGGGACCAGTGTTTCCCTACAACTCTTCCAATCCTTCTGAGATTGACATTCATGCCAGAAATTTTTTTTTTTAATGAGGAAGATTAGCCCTGAGCTAACATCCGTTCCCAATCCTCTTCTTTTTGCTGAGGAAGATTGGCCCTGGGCTAACATCCGTGCCCATCTTCCTCTACTTTATATGTGGGACGCCTGCCACAACATGGCTTGATAAGTGGTGCATAGGTCTGCACCTGGGATGCAAACCCGCAAACCCCAGGGCCACTGAAGCAGAGCGTGCAAACTTAACCACTATGCCACCAGGCCAGCCCCCATGCCAGAAATTTAGAGGCAATTCTCGCGGTTATCAAAGCTTTCTGCTTCCCTTCCAATATTCAGTGTACTTCTTTGTACTGTACAGCTAAATTATGAGAAATCAATCAGCAAATACTATCAAACTTTTTCCCCAAGTCACCAATAATTATGGGTGATGGGATTACAAGTAATTTTTATTTTCCTCTTTCTTTTCCCCTAATTTTCAACAAAGGCAACTACAGATATTTTTAAAAGGGTTTTCTGAATTTTGTTTTAAATCTAACCAAAAGAAGCAAATTATTGAATTTTGGGCTTAACTTTTTTACACTAGCCACACAATGAGGCCAAAAACAACATTTACTAAACTCAGTGAATGTTAATATGGACATGTAATAGTAGAAGGTTATACAAAGACTGTGTGACACCCGTTACATTTTCTTAAAGAAGTGATGTATGTATTATATGTGACCAAGGTAACATGATCCTTGAAATAAATATTAATATTCTTAGCATTTTCACAGTGAATTTTTCTTCTACAAGAAACTAGCAGAATTAAAAGACAATATAGAAACTAACTTGACACACAAATGCTCTCTTCAACAAATATTAAGAAACATATTTAATATAAAAGGAAGAACAAAATACCAAAAAGAGTAAATCAGCTGCTTTACCTCTTTGTGTTTCATATCCAACTGACTCCTAAGAGTCTTAAGTTCCCGCTCACGGACGTCCAGGCAAGTTTCTAGGGCATGTGTCTGCCCTTCCCATTCAGACTTTTTATGAGCCACCATTATGTCAATCTGTTTCATGAGCTCCTGTAGTTCTGCTTCACAGGATGTCAAAAAACCCCTATAAATAAGAACAGACCCTCAAGAACACAGAACATATGTCCAAGTGGCTTTTCATCTTTCACATGTAAAAACAGAGCAGATGTAAACTTACCTGAGGTGGAACAATGTCAGTAAATAAATTATCAGAAGCAAAGAAGAGGATTTCTGAGCTTTTCCCACTAATGTTCATATGTAGGTGATGACTTATTTCACAGAATATTTTGTCTTCCTCTAATAACCAACCTAAAGCCTAAGTCATTTGGTCCAACACAAGACTGAAGTTTTAAGTCTGGCTTGTGAGTGCCACTTCCACAACCAACAACTAGCTCTTTTGTAATATTCTTAGGAAGCTTTCAGGAAGAACCCAGGCAAGGTTATGTCACATTCTCAGCTGGCCAAAACAAAAAGCCTTGGAAGCAAGTAGGCTATTGGAAAAATCATACAATTTTAAGAGCTGTTACAAGAAATTCACCCTTGAATCAGATTTATTTCAATTATTTCTTCCCACCTTATTATTACACACTTACTGCACCTATCTTATTATGTAAACTTACTGATGTCCTTCCAAGTTTCAGAAGATGCCAGGTCTTGCAGAGGTGGAAAGAGAAGTGGACACAGATGTGTTGGATTCAAAGAGGTTTCCAGGGGTGCCCACAGAGAGCTCTAACTACTAAGGCTTAAATACTTTCTTAAAAAAGCATTTGTGGGGCCGGCCCCGTGGCTTAGCGGTTAAGTGCGTGCGCTCCGCTGCTGGCGGCCCGGGTTCGATCCCGGGCGCACACCGACACACCGCTTCTCCGGCCATGCTGAGGCCGCGTCCCACATGCAGCAACTAGAAGGATGTGCAGCTATGACATACAACTATCTACTGGGGCTTTGGGGAAAAAATAAATAAATAAAATTAAAAAAATTAAAAATAAATTAAAAAAAAAAAAGCATTTGTTCTTCGTGTCACAAAACCTCTGTACTTCTACTTTTGCTTTTTAAGAGCAGAAAATTTAAAGTGGGATGAAAGCCAGCATCCAGCTTCACACTGCTGAGATGAGGCAAATACCCCAAAGATAGCGCTGTCCACAAACATGGCGTAGACCAGCTTAGCTGTGCTCAACACTTTCTTTTCTGTACCCAAAGCACGAAACGGTCAGAAGCATAACTCAGATACGCTTTTGAAAACTCAGTGAGAAGCTAAGGTCAAAAGTAAACTTACCCATCACGTCTCCGATTTTGTATTCCTTCCAACAAAGCCTCCATCGCCAAATCCCCTTTGTTTCGGCAACTGGGAAAGCAAAAAAATCAGTCAGGACCAAACGCATTTTTTAAGTTCTAACATTCCAACTTACAAACTTAAGAACGTGAGGGAAAAGCACACAAATAACAACGAGAAACTGCAGCACTTCTTAGGATGACTGCAGAAGCAGGCAGGGACTATCAGGTCAAGAAACACCAGGACCAAATACCTTTCAGGTTAAAAAAAAAAATCACTTAAAAGGATCTGAATAGCTGTTGACACTCTCCCCAAAAGACTGCTTCACATACCTCATTGCTGTATCCCTACTTCCTGACGTAAGGGTGGGCCAGGCTGGAGATGGGGTGCTAGTGCAGAGGGACACTGACACAAACCCCCTTACAAATGAGAGGAAGAAATTGAGGGTCACATGTGTCAGAGGAAAAGTGTAGTTTTTCTGTTTTTAAAGAGATATTATTAAAATGCCCTGAGCTTGAACTCCTTAGTCCATCACAGGAGACCTATGCACCCTCAAGACGACAGGCCCATGAAGCTTCCCAGAGCACCCTCCCTGCCCTGGAAGGCAGCCACATGGGCCCTCCCTCCTCGGCACCTCATCGCTCCTCATCCTCTCCAGCTTCCTTCACAGGAGCTATACCACACTGGAAATGAGTTTTTTGTACACGCCTTTTCCTTACTATTCATCCCTCAAGGGCAGAAACCAATTTGACTCATCCCTGCAGCTCCAGAGCATAGCACAGCACTTTCAACACAGCATGTGCTGGATGCTTTTGGCTGAACTTTCCCAACTCCCCTCCCTTTTACCTAGCCTCCTGTGCAAACTGGTCATAGCCAGAGAACTACAGAGAAGAGTCCAGCAAGAGAAAGAAGAAAAGGGAGACAGAACATACTGCTGCAGAAAAGGAAAGGCACATGGTAAAGAAAGGGAGGTGAGAGGGAGAAAGACTGCCCTTAAATTCGGAAGTGCCAACGAGTAGCACCTGCTGTAGGTTTCTCCCCTCTCGTCACAAATCTTCAACACTTTAATCAACGTCAAACCACTTCTCACTTCCTTAGACCTTCAAAGGCTCAACCCTGAATTAGTCTTTAGGTAATTCCCAAAGACTGTGGTGTGGAGGTTCTGCCCCCGAGTCCTAAAGCCTCATCTAAACATTTTATTGCTCTGAGAAGGGGATACCTTTATGCAACAAAGGATTCAGTGTCGCACTAACCACTGGATACACAGTGATGAAAGACACGGCCCTTTTCAAGGAATTAATCCAGTATGGGAGAGAAAAAATTAACCGAAAATGTTCCCCCAGTGTGATAAATGTAGTGACAGAGGCATGCATGGGGTGTCCTGGAGACACAAGGAGGATGAGAAGCCTAGAATACAACCACTGCACACTACCCACATTGATTTCTAAAGTTACTAACAGGAGTAGTAAACTAACTATTTATGCACAAACACGGCAGAGAGGTTTTTTTTCCAGTTGGTTTATCCTTCACATTGCACCAACATTAGACAAAATAAAAACCTAAAGGAAAAGGTTTTCACATTCTACTCCACTTTCTTTCAAACCCCATCACAGTCAATTACAACACAACCCAGATTCCGTGTTTGGTCCATTCTAGGGAAATGAGAGGCAGTACACAGTTCCCACGGCACCATGTAGATGGAGACCCAGGATACAGTCCTGCTCTGCAACCAACTAGCTTTGTTTCCTTGGACTTCGGTTTTGGCATCTGTAAAATGAGAAGTATGAACTGTAATCTCCGAGGCTTCTTCCAGCTTTTTCATAAGATTCTAACAGCCAATTAAACGCCCACGGTAAGTAGCATGCTCCTGACCACCATACATGGATAGTTGTTAAATATGGAGGAAAGTGCCAGTCCTGAGGACGGTACTCCTACAGTCACTCAAGATTATCATTAGTAACATTATACTTCTTCAGGTCATATTATTCTTAAACATTGATATATTTAGTAACATATAATACATTAATATGTTTTCTGGATGACATTATGATTTAATAATTAGCCATATGTATAATAGAAGCTAAAAGTCATTGAATGTTCAACTGTTCTGCCTTGTATATAGGGTCTAATTCATTCTTCACAAAACTTAGATAGATATTATTACTTGGAGGAAACTGAGGCTTGGACAGTTAAATAACCTGACCAGTAAACTAAAAATTATAGTCCCAGGATTCAAACCTAGGCATTGTGACAGCCAGTGTGCAATCTTTATGCATTTTATAGTAGTCCAGATCCTAAAATACCTTCATATCTTCTTTCGGTTTAATAGTGTCTTCTTGGCAATAAACAAAATCAAACCAAATCAAAGTCTGGATACAGGAAAAAAATACAAACTAAAGTATGACATCACCTCCATGGCCACCAGATGGCAGCAGCACAACAGTGAAAGTAGTCCACATAGGGGAAAATGGCCATTTCAGAAATCAAAATAATGGTCTAAAACTAAGACAAAGA